TGACCTTGCGCTGTAATTATCTTAATAACTGCAAATTTAGCGAAATTATGTCATTGTGAAAAAATGTCAAATTACGTTCTTACGAAACATGAACCTTCAGTATACAATAGCCGCAGAGATGGACAATGATAAAAAGAAATACGTTGAAACATGAATATATGTATAAAACTCAGAGAAAAAAATGTGTAAAATAATTTGATTAACTTTCTTATTAATCTAATGTTACGGACAAACACTAAATTTAAAATATTAGAAGAAAATTTTAAGGGAACGAGAAAGGATTGGGAAAGAGAACGGATAGATATGGAAAAACGCGTAAGTTAGCGTAAGTTAGACAGACTGTTTCATAAGTATACGTAGAAGCGCAACTCACAAATCGAAAGCACTTTTTGTCGAAATATCGAACAATGTTCTGAAAAGCATAATGCTTTTTTCCACGAGCCGTGCTATTCGATCGTCGATCCTAATTTTGGAGATCAAGGAACTTAATCTTTATAGCCTAGGACTGGAATACGTGCGATCTCTATAAAGGGGAATAATCACGAGATTTGAAAATTTTCGTAAAAATTTGTAAATTTCTCCTCTCATTTATTAACTCTAATCTATTATCATCTTATTCAGAATAACTGCACTCGTACTGTAGTTTGGAGATAAAGAGAGAACAAAGAAATGAAAATAAAGAGATGGAGAATTCTGTTTGTCGCGGTTTATATAGGAACCTTTAGAAAGTGGGATTTCGTGGGATCGTTGAGTTGGAAAGTTTAGATTTTAATAAGATCTTTCCGTCTGTTACAAGAAGTTTAGTTTCTCAATCGTTCATTGAAAAGTTTAACTTAAAATCGGCTCTGCTCATAATGTAATTCTTTTACAACTATAACTCATTGATGAACCATCTTCTCTTGTACATCAATTTTTGAGTTTACGGTTTGTTATTGATGAGTCGTTATCTTTATCATTACAGATTTGATTTAATTGGTCATTGATGAGTTCAAAGGGTTTGAGTTTGGGAGTCACCTAGAGTTTAGGAGGTTTAAAATTCGTTAATTCTTTAGAAAAAAAAATCAATATTTCTTTAACAGTTTTCTTTTTCGGGACCTTTTTTATTAAGAAATCGTGAGTTTTTCGATCCAATTTAAGACTCAACAGTTAAAAAACATAGCAAACATATTTTCATTGCTTTTCAGGATAACACGGTATTTCGTACCCCATAAATTTTGTTTTATGAATATGCGGCGAGTCTACGTTTATTAAACGGAGAATATGTTTTATTGACAGTTTTACTTGTTAATTTTTTTCTGTAAAAATCTGAAACCTGTGACACATTTTGGTATCGAATTTATTATCGCGGACTAGACATGCATGCAAACGTAATCCTATCTCTTTTCGGAATTATTTTTAGAAGACTCCTCACTTTCGGTTTATGTCTTCTTCGTACACTTGTCAGCGCGCAAGGCGATCTCTTCTGCATATATCCACAGATAGGTATGTATATGGGTCTTACAGTGTTCCGGTCTTTAGGAGACTTTCCTAAAAGGCAAAGTTACTCTCGGTGGTTTGCCTTTGCCTTCCGAGAGGTAGCAATCGCTTTTAAATCGATTTAGAATTATTGTTTTGGATTTAAATCTGTCTTGGCACAAAAAGCTGACGGAGTCTTTGGCACAAAAAGCTGACGCGCAGCTCTCGTACCACGATCGCACAACAGCTGATTTATATCACATTTATTTAAAATAAAATTTCCTGAAGGAACGGAAAATGGTAATTTTATTGGGCTTACAGACTATTCACCGATCAATGATCATTAATATTCATTTTTGTTTATTATTTCTTATTTTAAATGATTATAATTCTGTTGCATGTTCGCGAAACGGAGAAATTATGAAGTCCGTCTGACGAAACACTAATATAATCTGACATATTATGCTTCGTAAAGATATGTTTATATATGGAATGTTAATTATTGTTATTAACATTTATGTATTATACATATTTTGCTATACTTAAGCTAGATTCGATTGAAAAACAAAAAATTGTTATTACATAAAAAAAAACAAAATATATTTATAAGTACTTATAAATAGTTAAAATGCGCTTAACGCATAGAATATAATAACATATTTAAAATTGTTTTATTTTATTTTATTGTTTCTTATTATCATTAATATATTAATAATTTGTTTGATTTAAATACAAACTTTAGACAAACATATTTAAGTATAAACAAAGTATAAACAAAGTATATATTTAAATATTATAATAATTCTCGCCTAATTACTGAATAGATATCGATGACTACCATTGTAGAAAAATATTATTGGATTAATAAAAAAAAACTATTTTAACGAATAGTGTATAATTAGCAATAAAGGTAGCAGGAAAAAAAATTTTTCATATAAATATATGCAGCATTGTTAAATATTTATTACTATAAGTACATTTGTATACAAGAGGCACAAGTACATTTATAATATTATATTATATAATTAAGATTAATATTTATTGATGATACTAATTACGTTTGCCAACGTAGAAAAAAAGACTTATAAAAGTCATGTATTTTATACATAATGTTAAATATATTCTTTATTTTTTTTGTAACACAAATTTTTATTAAACATATTTAATTTCAAATTTTTTGCATACAGAAAGCTATTATCAGATTTTTCCATTTTTTTTCATCAGTACTGACCTTTGTCATAAATGCCAATTACACTCATACATCAGCATTTGTACATTCTCTGGATCTTTTTAATATCTGAGTTGCTCAGATTATTTCTGTTACCAATGTTCTTTTCATCTGCTTGTTTCTGAAACATTTATAAAACTACATTCCAGTATCACTACGAAAATTATTCTTATATATGCTTTAAATACGCGTAATACACACACACACACATACACACACACACACACACAATTGGATGCATGACGTATAATTTGTAAATTTATATAAAAATTGCTATTTCAGATTGATGAATCGGGATCTTGTACGTCCGTTCAGATTTATTTAAACTACTCTGACAAAGGAATCAACCGTCTTATGACGTAAAGGACGTTTATAAAAATAATGATTAAATTACTTACCTTTAAAACAATGGTTTTTTTCTTGGTATCTATGGCAAACGCGTACAATGAATAATGTATCACGCTGTAATAATCATAAGGCTCACCATAAGCGAAGGTCGTCCCTTTGGGGTTCATAGCGAAAGCATACTGGTAATCTAAATACAATATACACGATAAAATTGGAAATTTATGATGTAAATTTACGGAATACTTTCCGTCAATTAATACAACTCTTATTTAGAAAGCTTTTATTGAGATATAATAAATCACTTATTATCTCAATATTACAATATTAATAATTCTTAAATCAAAAGGAATTTGTTTAAGATTCTCTAAAGTCAAAATGCAGATAGAAGAAAATTGTCGGTTGAAAGATGCATACGCTATTTTAATATATTAATTACAAAATTAGTTGGTAATCCGCAGATATTAATAAATGAAAAAAAAAACAAAATACGCTTCAATTAAACGTTTACAATTTTAATTAAACAAATTAATTTTCATTTGAACTATACAGTTATAACTATTTATACATACTTTTCGGAATATTATTCCAAATGATATTCACGTAATTATCTCGGTCGTCTCTAGTCTGTTCGTGCTCAAAGCCGATGGCGTGCATAAACTCATGTATCGGAGTATGTGTTCCATATACACAACCAGGATTCTGCAAGTTCACCTCTTGTCTACCGCCTTGCCTGCCAACGTAGCTCCAGCATCCAGTATTACCGCTTTTAATGTCGATATAATCCTTTTCGTTCGTCCTCGGTTTAAATCGTATGCATGTCTTAATATGATATTCATTAATTGCCTTGATTATTATATTTATTTGATTCGCAGCTGCAATGCAAAGGTAAACAGAAATGATTAAACCACAAATAAAATTGAAAGTGCCTCTTGCGGTCAAACTGAATCTTGATGGTTAATAATATTTGAATTCTTATGTAAATTTTAACAGAAATCCTCAGTGAATTTTAACAGAAACGATTAAATTAATGCAAATTTGATATAATTTACACAATAAAAACGTTCATCATCTATTACACGTTTAGACGTATACTAAATTTATTTAATAATTTATTTTTTAATTATATTTGCCATTTAAAAACAAAATTATAAAACAGATTAATAATAATAACGGCATTATTATTTCACTTTGTTTAATATTTATTTTTCTAAGTTAGAAATATTAAAAATGTCACAAAATGGTTCTGTCTAAAATTATCAATGTAATCATGGACAAAAACGCAAGTAAAAATGATGATGTGATTGTCACATCTTGTACGCTATGGATTCCTTCATTAAAAAAGAGTCTGTTATTAAAGTATAAAAAATCTATTTAAAATTCAAAACAATTCTTAAATATTTTTCAGAAAATAACACAAAAATATGTATTTATATAAGATAATTCCGATATATGCGCCGCACATATTAAAAACTTAATTTATTAGGTATTATTAATTATGGTTAAGGTAAATAAATTATACCAGTAAAAACTTTAGACTGTCTACTACTATGAAAAAAATATTAGAAATCCAAAATATTTATTTTTTATATTAAAAAAAAATTCTATAAACCCTTGCGTTTTGTCGTATAAAAATATGAGTGGGTTATACGGCTACTCACAGGTGGAATGAATGACTCAAAAAATATACAAATATTACAAATAATCTAAAGAGCTAAGCACTTGTATTTTGTTATATTCTATCCTTTACAATTCCTCGATACTTATGTACCACGAAATAATCACGAAGTCTTTTTTATATTTTCTAAAATAATCATTTTATGAAGATTATAACTTATGGTTGCGCTACTTATTACTGATAAATCGATTTAACTTACAATAATTTTATAAATATTAACAGTAAAAAAACTGAAATTATAACACAATACTAATATAATATAAAGACATGTAACAGAGTGATTGTGAGAAAATTACTTTCACTTCTTCTATTTTTTCTGACTTTTGCGGCATAAATCTTCGCGCAGCGTATATACCGGAGTTACCCTATACATATTTATCGTATATATGTATCAAAGAATAAAAATTTATTAATTCAAAAATTTATTAGTCTTTTTTTTCAGTATATAATATTGTGCAACTATATTATGCAATATAATTTTTTATTTTTCTTCCAATATGTTCTTAAAAAAATTAATAAAAGTTGTTAAAAATTCTTTTTCTTTTATCATTTATGGTACAATTATTTTCGGAACTAAAAGTTCGAATATGTTGTACAAAATTCGATTTAGATTCTGATATTCTCGATATTACTAATTATGTGTTTAATGTAAAATGATATATATATTATTAATTTTTTCTTTAGCTACGTCAGAAACATACTTGTTACTTTTACAAAGACTATTCAATTACAATAAAATAATATCTAGCTATTGAATTTAAATTCGTTAATTTCGAAGCTATGTTATAGTACAAAATGTCTGAATTTTTATTCTTAAAGGTACTTACTAAAGTTATTTGCAGTAATTAGGTAGGGAATAATGCCACCAGGCCAACGAAGGTGTTCATCAATACGGCCGTTTCTTTTGGTATTGTTTGCGATCATGATATCTCCCTGGAAATAGTTACCCAATTCCTCAGGGCGCGTGTTCATTTCCTTGGTCCATTGCGCTACCTTGACTCCTGTTTCGTAATCCGGTTCCGTCTTATAATTTTTCTCAATATCCCTTGAGTAAGGGCTCGCCCCCACCGATTCAAATATTGTGAGAACGAGAAGCGTCGACGTGAAAGTAACTAATAGTCGATACATGATCGATGAACATTAAATCAAACTACAGCAAGTTACCTCTTCACCTATGGTCTTACGACAGCAAAAGCGAATGCAGTAAAATAGTCATTTCGATCGCTTCCCTTTTTATATGTTACAGCACAATGAGTTTCATACACACATGCCCCACCTATGCCACTTTTGTTAATGATTTGCACGTGTATCGAGTAAAAAATGTTATCTCTCAATGTCATTCACCGACAATTATAGTTGGCGTACAGTTCCATTTGTAACATATATATGTATATTTTTTTATACTGCAATGAAAATAATAGACACGACTTAAATTTAATGACTCGGATCTATTTTATTAAACAATTTAGTTAATTGCATTATTATAGCATTGTACAAATTAAGATATTACTATTTTTTGGATTATATATATAGCTTCTTTTTCGGCAGTATCGTGTTTAAAGTGTTGAAACATTTCTTTAAATCGGAACTGTGACAGTTTTTATCTATAAAAGTGATTGATATATCTGAAATATACATTAAACACGTGTATTTAAAAATAATATGTTAAATTAATATATGTAAATCAGTTATCACACTGAGAAAAAAAACCGATTGTACGAATTAAATTTATATAGTTGTTTGATCCAATGGTTGATTCAACATTCTTTAGTTGCACAAAGAAAAGTATAGTTCATTCATGTCAACAATCAAATTATTTTAATCAAGAATTAACTAAACCAACTCAATTAAGTTATTTTATTCGAAATACTAGTAGTATTTATTTATGTTTGCCTATTTAGTTATCCAAGCAATATATTTGTTCAAATTCCAAGTATTAAATTGATTAAACAATGCTGATGGGGATAATAAATAGTATGTATTTCTAATCGAACGGTTGAGTTAAATGCGATAAACTTTTGTTGCAACAAAATAGTTTAGTTAAAAAATAATATTTTGTTTATAATAGTAATAAATTATTTTGTGTCATCGTAGTAACATTTAGTTGATCGCATCGGACTAAATATTTTGGTAAGATAAAACAAATTTTGCGTTTTTCAACAAATTTGTTTTCTCAGTGCAAAAAATAATTGCTCGCTTCAATCGGCATTTATACCTTTACACAACTTTATTAATGTATTAATTATTTAATAATACTATATATAAAATGATCACTATAAAAATTAAATTAAATTATATAATAACGTTGAAAAAAGTAATAAACACAAAATCATATGATTACTTTCACTTCTATATTTATTAATTACTTGTTTATAAATTTTGTATGTATATTTGATATTTATAAATGCTTTTTTTTATTTTTTGTACATACAACCGTACCTTTCTTTAAGTTTTTAAAACAGGATGTGCACAATTAACGATATTATTGTGATATGGACGTTATCATTACCACGCGTTCCATTGTGCAATAAAAAATGGAACTGTTTGTGTGACCTTGCACCGTAATTATTTTAATAACTGTAAATTTAGCGAAATTATGTCGTTGTGAAATAAAATGTCAAATTATATTTTTACGAAACATGGGCATTTAGTATACAATAGCTGCAAAGAAGGACAATGATAAAAAGAAATACGTTGGAACATGAATATACGCATAAAACTCAAAGAAAAAAATGTGTAAAATAATTTGATTAATTTTCTTATTCTAATGTTACGGACAAACACCGAATTTAAAATGTTAGAAGAAAATTTTAAGAGAACGAGAAAGGACTTTGAAAGAGAATGGGTATAGAAGGACGTAAGTTAGACAGACTGTCTCATAGGTATACGTAGAAGCGTTGCATAAAAATGATATATTTTATTTCAGATTTTAATAAATATGTATATTTATACATATATGTAAAGAGATGTTAACGATACAGAGCTATACACTCGAGTGCCTCGAGCGTTCTCGAAGGTTTTATCACTGATACAATTCGAGACACACAAGGATGATGAGAATCCTGCGTTTTTTTTTTCGAATCATTATTAAATGCCATGCATTTTTTCTTCGAATATATCCTGAACTGCGTAAAGCTAAAATCAAGTCCAGCTTGATACTTTTGTGCGGCTCTTAATTCATTCCGATGCGTAGGAAAGAGCGTAAAGCGGTAAAACACATTTGCGCGATACTGCGTACGACTTTTTTTCTATCAAACGCATCCACCTCTCCACGTCCTAGAAATCTCTCTTACAATTAACCCCCTCCCCCCCCC